AGAATGCCATGAATGCGAGCCCCTTCGGGACTTAAAAGGAGAAGACCTGCCCCAGACATCTTTCTGTTCGAAGATCCATCGACGTAGAGGCTCTAGGTCGACAGATTTTGAGCAGTCTCCTGAATGACTTCGCTGGGCTGTTGCTCCGACTCATTCGTCGGATGATATGAGAATTTTGATATGAAGTCGGCAACAGCCTGCCCTTTGATAGTTGACTTTGGTTTGTACTTCAGATCGAACTGACTTAATTCCATGGCCTATTTAAGCAATTTACCCGACACCTCCGGTTTCTGGAGGACCTACCTGAGCAGGTAGTTTGTCATTACATGGATCGTATGAGCGTGGAAGTAAGGTCGTAACTTTCTGGAAGCAATCAGCGGGGCATAAGCTAATCATTCCATTTCTGGATAACGCATCTCGATATCTAACAGATGCTTGCTCACGTAATACACTGGCCATTGGACCCTATCCTCTTCCCGAATTAAGGCTGCACTGACCACGAATTGAGAGACGGACAGATACAGGAGGAGGATCTCTTGTGGGAGAGGCTTGGACAGGAGAGGTAGTTTCCCGAGGTGTTCTTTAATACTTTGGAATGCCTGTTCGCACTCGGGAGTCCACTCGAACTTTTTATTGGCCCTTAGAGCATTGAAGAATGGCAAGCAGCGATCTGTTGTCCTTGATATAAAGCGACTTAGCGCCGCAATTTGCCCATTAAGGCTCATGATCTGCTTTTTGTTGGTCGGGCTTTTCATGTCGAGAAAAGCTTGGATTTTCTCGAGGTTGATCTCTATGCCCCGCTGGTTAACCATGTATCCTAGGAATTTTTCCGAGGATACTCTGGATAAGCACTTGAGGGGGTTTAGCTTCATTCTATATTGTCAGAGGATGTCGAACATCTCAGTGAGATACGCTATGTGATCTGAAGCGACATGGGATTTGACCAACATGTCATTTACATAGACCTCCATTGATTTTTCGATCTGTTCGGAGAACATTCGGTTAACCAACCGCTGGTAAGTTGTGCCAGTGTTCTTGAGGCCGAAGGGCATATTTCGAAAGAATGAACTTGGACGAGGTCGACTTGAAGCCCGCCTCGATCCCCCTATATGGTTTTACAGGGGACCACCTGATCCCCAAAGGAACGATCTTGCTTCCAGTCACGCTGGGTGACTTTGCGAAGTGACTAAGGTAACTGAATTCTTGGTAGTGGATTGCCCATCCGCTTTTAATGGAATCCTGGGACGACCTCTGCTGAGAAACTTCAAGGCAGTCACTTCGATATACCATCTGAAGATGAAGTTCCCCACCCTGATGGGGATAGGGGAAGTCAACGGATCTTAGCGCGCATCTCGCGACTGTTATGTGAAAGCAGTGCAGATGGCGTGCAAAGGGAAAGACATCTCACGCGGCATTCCCCAACAGGCAATGGCAATAAGCCGGATCGAACCACAGCCTGGCCCAGCCGAGGATAATATGGATCCTCGTATTCAGGAATGCCCTTCCAGTGGGCCAGTTGAGGATCTGTCTGAAGTATCGGTCGATGTAAGACTAGAGGGATTCATCCCTCTCTTGTCTTATATTGCTAAGGTAGCGCAAAGGCATCGAGAACTTTCGGTTTGCTTGGAAGTGCCTCAGGAACGTCGCGCTCATTTGAGGCCACGAGCTGATCGATCCGGCTGGGAGCAACCTGGTGTGCTGTTGTAGGCACTCAGAATTAAAACCCTAAAAAATACACGTAGTAGTGTGAGTAGGGATCGTTCCCACAAAGAGTGTCTAGCCGAGTTTAATGTTATGTGAACCAGTAGGGGGGGGGGGGGGGGGGGGGGGGGGGAGTTGAGTTAAATAGAAACAATTTTAGGAAAACACAATTCAAATTAATCAATCAATCAATAACAAACCTTGGTCTAGTTAACATCCACCATTGGAATCTACAACTGATCATCGATGCAAAAATAAATCAATACATATTTTGAATATTCACCGTTGGAACTATTTTCCTATCTCTCCTTAGTTGTAATTAATTAAGAAACAAGCGATTAATTAACCTTACTACTAAACAACCCTAGACAAGCGCTAAAGATTTAATCTATAGTTTCCAACCTTAAGACCTAGAGAGATCGATGAAGCTAAACAACACAAACTCAAGCGGTTGCATTTAATTCAATCAAATGTTCTTCTTAAGACTTAATAATTCCTGACGTAGCAAATTCTTAAACCCTAATTACTTCACAAGTTAGAGGGATCAAACAATTACGGATTTGATATCTAACTTAGCAGTAGATTGCAACAATTAATAAACTAGTAGGCCTCCTAGTAATTAAACACAACAGTCATGAAAATATGCATAGAAGAACATCTAATACTCAAACATAAATTGAACACTTAAAAAAAAAAAAACCAGATTGATCTCACATTTTATTGATTCTGAGGTCTTGTTTCCTTCGACCAAGTTATAAAAATTAGCCACTCATGGCCATCACGGAAATTCAAAGGAAAAGTTCAAAAGAAAACCAAAAAGAAAAATTCCAGAAAAACGAATTCCCCCAAAAAAGAGAAGAGAGCAGCGTGTGTGATATGTGTTATTCCTAATCTGATCTCCCTCTCTCAATATCCAATTCGAATTTTAATTCTACTAAATCTAAATCTCCTAAAAATATTCTAAAATCCCAAAATAACCTTTATCCTAATCTGAGTAATTGAAAATAAAATAAAGTCTTAATACAAAATAGGAAAGTGGTGTGTCCAACTATAATTTGCATGCAATAGGTCTTCAAATCTTCCAATAATAAACTGCCTATTTGAATTTCATGACAAGGCAAAATGTTCTAGAACGTCGGTAGTGTAGGTATGTCAACTTCAAGTCCGATTACAACCTTGATAAAGCAAGTATCTCTCCAAAATTAAAACATGAAAGTTGTAGATCTCGTTCTTAGCGTTCCAAAGCATTTTGTATCATCTCAATCGGAGCTCAGTTGAGAAAGTTATGCCCAGATTACGAAACAATGTCGAAACTGTCCGAATTCACTTAATTAGTTCAGCTTTGCAATTAACGCCTCCATTTGCATCCTAAATCAAAATAGAATAATAATGAGCATATTTAGCCAACAAATAAGCATGAAAGACTAGACATTAAGGGGGGTAAATATGACATTTTTCATTCTCATCACGACCTGAACCATCGTTTGACATGAGAGGTTAGAGTTACTACCATACAACGACACTTTGCCAAATCTGAAACCTGGTGAAGCTCCATCATGTCGTTGAATTCATACAAGTGATCCTGCAGATCAGAATTTCCATCGAACGCCCGTATGTCCGGCATTCTAAATCTTGATGGGAGTGGGGCGACTAACACTGCCGGAGAAAAGGGAGATGCTGACATAACCTGCCCTTGTTCGTTTTGCTGAGCTCTTAGCTGGTCTAGAGCTCACTGCAGCTCCTCAATCTAGGGCAGCGGAGCTATTTAGGGATTACTTTCACCCATGCGAGTCCGACCCTAACGATTATGATTGAGGAAAGTCCGGAGGTCGGATTCCACTTTGCCTCGGCAGGTAGTTCCGGCCACCCTTGACACATGTTGGCTAGAGCCGTGTGATGGCGATGAATGGTGCGGGGAATTTTCACGACCTCTACGGTGGTATGAACCACCCTGCGGAGTGTGGGAACCTCCCGCACGACTATGATCAGGATTGCATTTATGGTGGTGATGAGAATCACCCCGCCCAGCACTTTTATGGGGGTTTTCATGCGACGCGGCATGGGACGGCTCGGGCTGTGACTTTTCACCGAGTCTTAATGCCACGGGTATTCTATTTGGGATGTGGTCGGTGTTCGCCGGCCCTTTGGAGCCTTTAGGCCCATTTTTTGCCACTTGCTTACCCTTTCTTCGGCGCGCTGCAGTGCTTGCGGCACTGGCTATCGCCCTTTGCTGCGCTTTCGTGCTACCTGCAGGCATCTTTGGCGGTTGCACCGCTCTAGCTGATTCGGGTAGCACGCCCTGGTCCAAACGGTCCAACCTTTGTTTGACCGTTTGGAGAGTATTGTTGAACCTCTCCAGGTAGCTCATGATGGCAGGGTCAAGTTGTGAACTTGACGGGATATCCCCCGCGACATTTTGCGGAACCGAAGGTACCCCGGGAGAGGTGTCCTCCTGCACATGGGGGATTTCCTCAACGCCCTGATTGGTTTGCTCAGGTTCAAGTCGGCGAGCCATTTGTTGTTGTAGGCTGAGTAAGTTAGAGATTCTCCTGATGAAGAACGAATGCTAAATCAGGCCCTCCTTTTAGCGCCAAACTGTTGATGCGTGATTTTGACACCAACCAAACGCACGTGTGAAATGCTGAGTTGGCCCAGAAGACACACGTGGATGAATAAACAAGAGTAAAAATAGCGTTTAAAATGGTTCGGATGCTAAGGAAGCAAATCCTACGTCCACTGATTTTGTATTAATGATAGAGGTTAGGTCGCGTTCAGCGGACTGACTTACAAATGATTATACAAGAGAGAGAATGCTATCTTTTCTTTAGAGAGATTAGCTAATCCTTTAAACGAGAGAGATACTCTCAATTTATAGTGGGATGGATTAAGGTTATCATTACTAAATCTGTGAGTTGGTGGGATTGTCCGTGCAAATCCTTCTTTATGTCCCATTGCCCACCTTCTAGAGTGATTTACGCGATTTGGTGCAAGGATTGGACACGTAGAATCGCTATAGCTCTTGGTTGGTCTGACGCGCACCGACTGCCCTGACAGGAGCATGCCGCACCTTTCATTGTATGACGTGGCTGTCTCTGACTGGCTGTGGGCCTACCTAAGCTCTGACTTTTTGTGTTGACTGGATCTTGCATCAGCCCTACTTTTTCAGGCATAACACTATTTTTACAAATTTTCTGGACAAACTTTCATATTCAGTCTCACAAATAGGCATCCATGATCCCACAGTAGAAGAACAATCAATTTTTATATTGCCATAAAATATGAGGAGAGTTTTTCTCTTCCTATTTATTACGATTTGAACCAAATCTTATAAGAGCAATGTAAGCAATAAATCGAAAACCCAGAAACATAATGGTCAATGCAATAACACTTAGCAAAGAGTGATCAAGCCCAATAGCCTTAATTCTAGTGTAATTTCGCACCAAACAAGTCACATTTGGAGCACAATTATACGTTTCATCACCGTTGTATTGAACTGCCAACAGGAGCTTGTATGAGAAATATGCAAGAGAAATGTACTGAATCCAGGACAGAAAAATCGGTATATCTTGAACAAGAAATCCACCCGCCAACATAAATATGAGCACCACCGTTACTGCAATTGTGTTAGCCATCATTTGCTCCATTACCACTGCACCAATTGCGAGGCCGAGGCTTTGTGCCACCAGGGCTGAGTAAAGGGAAACTAACAAAGTGTAAATGAAACTTAAGGCAGTCGGTTTGAGGCCCCCCATCCAATATGTTAGGGTGACAAAAAGAGTTGGAAGTGTAAGCTCCATGGGAATATCGCTAATGGTTCTCGCCATGAAATATGATGATAGCCTGTACATTCCTGAAGCTCTTTCTTTTTCGATCATCATTCTTTCAATTGGGAATGTTCGAAGAGCCTGGAAGAAAGAGTAGAATCCGACGAATCTGCTGTAGAAGAAAAGGAGTCCGACATGGTCTTGTATGTTATCAGTACTTGATTGCCACCATAGAGTTCCGGTAATGACTGAAAGAAACAAAACCTGGCAAATTTTGAGCCAAGAAAATGAGTCATGTCTCCTTTCTACTAAATCCCTTCTCAGCAACACAACAAATTGCTGCCACCAACTTGTGTTCCATTTGCCAATCTTCTTATTTTCTGAACCTTTAAGACTTTGATTCCCCATGTCTTGAAACTCTGCCTTCAATTTTTCGGAAAGATTACTCTGATAAGCTGATACCAGAATTTGTTTTACAGCTTCTCTGTCCTCTTTTCGGTCTCCAGAAACAACACCTATACATTATTTTAGAAGGTTATTATTTTCCAGGAAATCAATGAACAATTTTAAATGTATCTTGAATGTGAAGATTACATTACATACCACTGGCAAGATCTAACAGGAAATCTGAAGGATTCATGGCTACTGATGGGAAAAATCCAATGCTGGCGAAGTAATTCATGACCTCTTCACCTTTTCCGAAGTAAAGACTATTGCCTTCTGATAACAACATTACTTTGTTAAACATGTAAAATAGGCTACTAGAGGGCTGATGAATACTCATCAAAATCGTGCGTCCGCCTTTTGCCAATTTCCAAAGTGATGACAGAATTTGCCTGGCTATAGTTGAGTCAAGACCTGAAGTGGGTTCGTCAAGAAAGAGTAGACTTGGATTAATCAACAATTCTTGCCCAATACTCACTCTCCTCTGTTCTCCTCCGGATATGCCTTTAACAAATCGTCCTCCTATAATGGTGTCCTTACACCGAGTTAAGCCAAGCTGGTTTAGAACAGCTTCAGCATGCAGGATTTTTTCCTTTTCGGTGAGACTATTGGGCAGGCGGAGAAGAGCGGTGAAGACTAGTGTTTCATTGACGGTGAGGTGCGGATAGAGAGCGTTTATTTGAGTAACGTATCCAGTTCTCCGCTTGATTGTTGCAGAGAAAGGCTTACCATTATAGGTTATGGTTCCTTTAGTATCTCCATCAAGGCGGCCTCCCAAAGCTGTCAGGAGAGTTGTCTTGCCAGAGCCGGATGGTCCTAAAATGGCTAACAATTCACCAGGTGACACTGCACCACTAACCCCTTTCAAGATCATTTTCTCCTCAGATTTTGCATTTCTTGAACCAAAAAATCGTCCTGTTTTACTCTTGATTTTGTGTTCCACATCTTCAAACTGCAAAATTTCATCAGTGCTTAAAGATTGTTTTTTTGTTGTTTTGATTGAAATAATTACTTACAAAGAACCTAAAATTGCCGAAGTGTATATGATAATTCCAGTTCATCCAATTCGCTCAGGAAAAATGACCATGATTTGATATTGAAATTAACAAATGACAAGCACAATCAGATCCAAAGTATCTTGTACTGGGTTCAAAATTAAGGACAAAATGTCAGTCTTCAGTCTCATAAGTCAATATTCATTATTGGGCATTAAAATGAGGTCAAATTTATGGAGCCATGCTATAAAATCCAAATATATGACATTGGAATGCCTGTTAACTTTGGCTTTGTAGGAAACCGAGGCTAGCTATATCCTAAACCAAACAATGTATATATTTGAACAGCCTAAAAAAAATAATTCACAAAAACATGGGATAAGATAGAGAGAAACAAAAAGAAGAAGAGATGACATTGATTACCTTCAAAGTAACAAGTAGAGCTGCTTTCTCAAAGATATCTTTTACTTTTTGCTCTAAATGGTTTTGATTTTGCCCTTCTTCCACTTTCTCAATCTCATTCTCAGCCATTTCGATACTGTCTTTGAATTTGGACATATCAGTGGTTTTAAGTTTGTTGTATTTTGAATAAGTTCCCTGCCAGGAAAGGAAGCTATAGTAGTTCACGCAGGAGAGATTTAAGGATGATTTTATGGACTGAAATCTCTCCAACTGCTTACTATTTATTTGTTCCCATCACGTCAATGCTTCTTAGGCCAAAACAGTTGGATTTTAGATTGTATATACAATAAGCTTTTTGTTGGGTTTTGAAGTAAAAGTAGATGAGATAAAAACTTTCAATAATTGGATGAGCGTCATGGTGATACATTAATATCTAGCATCCTACTTAAAGATTATAGCTTTTGCGAGAAGAGTTTCAATATAGAAAAAACTATGATGATCATTAGCATGTGAAAAATAGATGGCAATATCATAGTCGCAGCTGCTTGAGCCTCTTAATGCTAGGTAAATCACCAATCTATATGATTATTTTATCTCCAATTTACATATATGAAGCTACCCTTTGGTTTCCAAACTTACTAACAAAATTTATGAAGCATATTGAGCCGCTCAAATTTGGTTAACACTGAAAATGATTTGAGTCCAATTAGCACATGAAATGAAAGTGTACTCACTGCAAATAGAATAATAACATTTGTGACTTTTTTTAAAGCATTGGACCTACATTTCTCATTTGGGCCTGATATTGTATTAGATGACTACTAAAAGAGCCTGATTTGGATGTAGGCTGGACTGACAGTTCTATTATTTGGGCCCTAAGAAACAAATTACCTTTTATGTTAGGTCCATTCTTTGATTTTATGGACAAATGATGGTTACGAGGATTAATTGACATGATTTTATAAGAGAAATAGAAGTAACATGTTATCCAAATAAAATCACTCCATTCATGTAGAAATTACAATTCATAATTGCCATGATGTACACTTTTGCACAAGCAATACATAATGACAGAACTTTCACTCAAGAGTGGAAGTTAAACAGCATTATTGCAAAAGAGAATAGAGTAAAGCGCAGAAGAAAATTAAAGTTGTTTGATTGGTGCAAGAAGCACCCAAACTCTACTCTTCCCAACTTCCTCTGGTGACAAATATAAATAAAATAACATAATATTCATACTATATCAGAAACATAAAAACAATGCTTTGATCTTTCAATTATCAAACGAATATAGCAAGTGTCTGAGCATTCCAAACTATTGTATCAGAAAGAGGCCACGGTACTGTCCAATATCATCTACATAACTAGCAATACATTCTAGCATTTATGCAAACAGGCCACCTCTGTATCCATTAACCATTTATTATTTTATGCAAGAAAAAGAATGAAAAAGAGCCATGAAAAGTACAGTACACCGCCCACAAGTCTCTAACAATAACATAAGCTGATGGAGAAAGTCCAACCTCTCTCGATCGAACAGAAATGTCAATGTGTTCGAAGAAGTATTCTTAAACTTTTTGTGCAAACATTTCTGGTTGTGAAGCATCTTAGGTCAATTACAGATTTCTATAGAGTGATTGAACAATGGTGTTCAAAATGTAACATCTAGGCTAGTGTCAGATCGTATTTTCCTCCCTTGGGTCTTTAGTGAATCTGAGAATCCTAAGAGTTTCTCTGCTTGCAGATCGAATATCACATCCAATTAGCAATGGGGCCTGTCAAATTGAGGTCTTTACATTTTGTTAAGATATCAATTGCACGAATGAATACAAGAGAAAAAACTGGTAGACTCACTTGTTGGTTTTCCTAATGAGTAATACTACACATACATCATTTTCATACAACATTTCTAATACAACATTATGTGGCAAGATATGATTGGCTAATTTAAAGTTAAAATTAAACTTTCACCCAATCACATCTTGCCACATAATGTTGTATGAGAAATGTTGTATGGGAATGATGTATGTGTAGTATTATTCTTTCATAATTATGGGTTAATGCGAATTATATTTTGATTTAATTAAACTGGGTAAACACATAGTTCAATGAGATATTCTAATGGGCTTCGTGATCGTTTTTTTAAAGCTTTATACACTTCATATTTAATTGATCTGGGGTATGACGATGTAAGTATGGGCTCTAGAATTTATTAAGCCCGTAATGGGAGGGCCCAACAAATTATTGTTAAAAGGGCTAGGTTCTCTTTCCAAACACATGACCGATTAACCCCATTCTAAAATATCATCATTTTGCGCGTTATTGGAAAGGAAGACAAGTCCTACAATCGACAATCGATTGATTCCAAATTTCAGAAAAGGTTTTCTGCATTAAATTATAGCACAATCAAGTTTGTCATATCTCTAATATAATTATTCAATGTTTTATAAACTAACATGTGTATCCTAGGTTGTCATTGAATTGAAACTATATATTGGTTTTGTAAATCAAAGATTAAGATTGCATGAATTAAATTTATGCTATTAATCTTACATGTGGTATCAGATCTTACATATTAGTTTATAAGATCTGTCTTTGGGTGATTACATTTGGAAATTCATAGTTCATGTATAAATTAGGGTTCCTTTAATTTTAAATAATCCCAATTTGGGATTTTTATGAATTGAACCCATATTTGGCCTTATTGGCCTTTAGAGAGATTTTTTTCAAGCCATTAGAGAAGAGGAATGGCTGAATTTCGGCTGCTGGAGTCGCAAAATTGCGATTTGGATTTTCCGGACCGCGGGGGTGAAATTGTCATATTTCAAACCTAGGGGCAAAAATTAACAAAAGTTAAGGGGGCAACTGAATATTATTACCAAAACAGGTCAAAATCATGCCAAACCGCATAAAACGGTTAAACCGGGTCAACCCGACCCGATATAAGCGTGTCAAGTTAATCAGGTCAATAGGGTCAACCCAACTTAGTCAAATTAAGTCAATCGGGTCAAGCATACCTAAACCAAGGTCTACTGACCTGTAGATCCAGTTGGATGCTCCAATTGGACCCCACGCACGCATAATGATGCTTGTGGATGCATGAGGAGCCTGTAGGGCTGTTTTTTTTTTTCGGGCCGAACGACTTGCACCCATCCATGGTTTATCGTAAAGACAAATTGGTACCCTCAAAGTTTGGAAATGACAAACACCAACCTTCCGTTAATATTTGATGTTAAATTTAACTGAATAAGGTTAAGATAGTAAATTCAAAAACAAATAAAGGGTAATCATGTCATTTTATCCCTTTCTTCTTCTGTTAAACTCACATTTCTTCTTTCCTCTTCATCTTCCACCTTTCTTCTTCAAAGCCGCCGCCGTTGCCAACATTCTTGCTGCGGCTTTCTTTTCTTCCTTCACCTTTTCAGTTGATCTCACCTCCCATCACCATCCTCCTCCATCCCCAGCTGGATTTGACCCATTTTTGGCTGAAATTTCCTCTTTTCCGTAACCCATCTTCACCCTAGCAACCGCTGGATAATTTCTTCTTTTTCATATTTATACCCTTTAATAATTTCTTCTTTTTCATTCCCAAAAAAGAAAGAAAGAAAGAAAGAATTTTCCATAGAACTTCCAAGAGAGATTAAATTATAAATCGCATTCATAGCTTACCCAACACCAGAGAAAAAGACAGGAACAGGAGCCAGATTCTTCAGAGCAGACATGAGACGAGAAGCAAGGGTGTCCCCAAAGACCTTCCCTGCTACTAGGAAAACTCTTAGTTCCCCATCTTTAATGGCCATGTCAACTACACTTTTCCTTGAAGTTGGCATCCATTTTCTCTGTAATTTCCACAAAGCAGTGGTAGTTTTACTGCTCCTACTAAATATCTTGTTCAATATCATCTCCAATATTCCACGATCGAGAGGAACACAATAACTTTTGCTTGCTTTAACATAGTGCAGGTTCTGTAATATCCCACTTGAGGTACGTACTTAAGATTTGCTGTATTAGTTAAAAGTTTACTGTTTCAGTTTCAATTGAATTTGTTTGTTGTCATGGTTAGTTGGTATGTTGAGTTGGTTGAATGGTTGCCTTGAAATTGGTTGAACTTTGGTGAAGTTTGGAAATCCAATCTTTGCCCGGGCGAAGAAGAAGCTTCGCTGCGGCGAGGAGGAGTTGCACCCACGGGTAGGTTCTGCCCTGTTTCGCCGGGGCGAGGGAAAGTGCTTCGCCGCGGCGACGAGCCCAATACAAAGTTTCTTGAGTTTTCTAGAGAATTCTTCTTTTGGGGCATAATGACCATTCTACCCCTAATTAGTAGGAAAAGTGGGAGTAAAATATAAGGAAATTAAGTAGAGATTGTGTTTGGATGGGGGTGTATTTGAAAAGAATCAAAGGATGTAGATGGAATTTCTAAGGAAGGGCAAGGGCAAAAAGGGAAATGATGCTTATAATATGAGCTAAAAAAGAGTTAAGTGTAGAGAAACCCTTTATTCATTCATTTCCACCGCCTCTTCCATTTGCCTAAGTTCTCTCATTTTCTCCATCCAATCTTCCAAGATTTCTAAGGGATTTAAGAGAGTTTTTGGGTAATTTTGAGTAGAGATTTCATCTAAAGCTTCCTAAGGTAAGGATGCATGCTTTAGATGTGAGTTTTCTTATAGTTATAGTGAAGGCTTATTTGGTTGTTATTGTTCTTGTTGTTGTTTTGAGTTGTAGAGAAGAGACAAGACAACAAAGGAAAGGANAAAAAGGTGCAGCAAGAATGCTGGCAGCAGCGGCAGCTTTGAAGAAGAAAGGTGGGAGATGAAGAGGAGAGAAGAAATGTGAGTTTAACCGAAGAAGAAACGGATAAAATGACATGATTACCCTTTATTTGTTTTTGAATTTATTATCTTAACCTTATTCAGTTAAATTTAACAACAAATATTAACGGAAGGTTGGTGTTTGTCATTTCCAAACTTTGAGGGTACCAATTTGTCTTTACGGTAAACCATGGGTGGGTGCATGTCGTTCAGCCTTTTTTTTGTCGTAAATTTTTTCAGAATTTTCTAACATTAATTTAGAATTATTGGTACAATTTCATAATTTTGAATCAGGTCAATAGGGTCAACCCAACTCAGTCAAAGTAAGTCAAACTGGGTCAAACAGACCTAAACCAAGGTATACTGACCTGTAGATCCAGTTGGATGCTCCAGCTGGACCCCACGCATGCGTAGTGATGCTTGTGGATGCGTGAGGAGCCTGTAGGGCTGTTTTTTTTTTTTTTTCGTTGTAAATTTTTTCAGAATTTTCTAACATTAATTTAGAATTATTGGTACAATTTCATAATTTTTGGATTGTGGAAAAATATTAATAATTTAATGGTTGGTTTATTTATTTATTTTTTTGATGATTAATATTGCTTGGAAAATTCTGGGAAAAATTGTGAAAATTATTTCCCTATTGGTTGAATATTGTGGCATGTTGTACTCTCCCTATACTATGTTTTGTATCTTATACTCTCAACATTGTCATATGTGGTTAATTATGTACATAGTTGGAGTATAAACCTTAGGGAATAATTATTGTTCACCAGATTAAAATGCAACAAGGTTAAGTTAAGATTGTCCGAGATAATTGGGTATTATATCTCATAAAATCTTAATTATGACAATTAAAATGCGACATTATTAACTTAAGATAGTATGAGATAATTGGGTATTATATCTCATGAAAATTGAAATGTAACAGTTATTAAATTAAGATTATTAGAGATAATTAAGTGTGTATTAGGGATAGGCACGGGCCGGGGCCGGAGACCCCTATCTCTAAGCCCGGCCTGAAGGCCCAAGGGGATTCCCTGAATCTGGCCCTGAATTCGGAGAATCCCTGAACTTGGCCCGATCTTTACACGGGGAATTCCTGAAATCTTCACGGGGATGTGGGGAATCTCGGGACGTCTCGAGCCACCCCAAATTGGAGGATTTCGTAGTCTTGAGCATGGTTATTAGTATCATACGATACGCGATACGTATCCTATGATACGATTCAATACGGGTCGCTAACGATACGTATCAGAGAGTTTATCTTAAACCTTTCGATACGTTGATATGTATCCTATGATACGATATGTATCCATATCCTTAAAAATATCGATACAAATCAATACGACTTTATTAATTTAGGCCAAAGGCCCAAAATAATTTCGGGTTGGATCCGGGTCACCCAACCCAATTCAGTAAAACCTGCCCAAATTTACCCATTTTGCATGGAGAAAGTGAAGAGGAACATATGTTGCCCATTTTGCATGATAATAATAATACAAGTGGAGATATAGATATTGACATTGACATTGATCTTAGAAATAACATGAATGGTTGAAAGGAAATGATAAAGATTCTTAATTTTGTGATTAATTTTGATAACGTAATACCATAATTTAAAGCCAAAAATATCACAAAATTCTTTGGGTGCGTTTGGTTTAGGAAATGTTATATTACTGAGGCATGTTGTATTATTGGAAAGATAGATTACTAGGAAATTTTTAGAGAATTGTGTTTGGTGGGTTGAAATAAATTGGTAAGTATGTTATAATAATATGTTTGGTTGGGAGGATAAATGAGTAGGTATGTTATGTAGATTACTAAATTTCCCTCATTTTTAAATAATAATATAATATTATTTTTATTATTATTTTATTCTATTATTTTTTAAATTATTTCCTTTAACCCCCCTATATTTGAAATTTTACTAAAACACCCCAACCATATACAACTTTAATTTGTAGCAAAATCACCTCTACTCACCCCAAGCCACCGCCGGTAGCCAGCTACCACCGTCGGAAGCCGCTGTAATGACGTATGACCAACCAAATCAAGGCCTAATCCGGTTAGATCTGGTCGTTTCACGGCCAAAGATATGGCCGTGTGATGAGAATGCAAAATGTCATATTTACCCCCTTTAATGTCTAGTCTTTTATACTTATTTGTTGCCTAAATATACTCATTATTATTCTATTTTGATTTAGGATGCAAATGGAGGCGTTAAATGCAAAACGGAACTAATTAGGTGAATTCGGATAGTTTTGACATCGCTTCGTAATCTATGCATAACGCTCTCATCCAAACTCCGATTGAGATGATTCAAAATGACGTGGAACCCTAAGAAGAGATCTAAAACTTTCATGTTTTGAGTTTGGAGATATACTCGCTGCATCAAGGTTGGAATTGGGCTTCAAGTTGACGCACCTGCACTGCTGACGTTCTAGAACATTCTGCCTTGTCATGCAATTCAAATAGGCAAATTTTTACAGGAAGTTTTAAAGGCCTGTTGCATGCAAATTACTACTGGAAACACTACTTTCCTATTTTATTTTAGGACTTCATTTTATTTTCAATTAATTAGAATCAGATTAGGATAGATGTTATTGAAGGATATTAGAATATTTTGACGAGATTTAGTAGAATTTAAATACTTGAATTAGATATCTTTAAGAGGAGAGAGAGATCAGATTGGAAAAAATCACACACGTCTCTCTCTTCTCTCTTTTGGAATTCGTTTTTCTTTTGAGTTTTTCATAGCCATGAGCGGCTAAACTTTTAGAACTTGGTCGAAGGAAATGGAGGCCTCGGAATCAATAAAACTGTGAGATCTAATCTAATTTTCTAATGTTCAATTTATGTTTTGAGTATTGGATGTTCTTCTATGCATCTTGTCATAATTGTTGCGTTTAATTACTAGGAGGCCTACTAGTTTATTATTTGTTGCAATCTACTGCTAAGTTAGATATCAAATCCGTAATTGTTTGATCCCTTTAACTTGTGAAGCAATTAGGGTTTAAGAATTTGCTGCGTCAGGAATTATTAAGTCGTAAGAAGAACATTCAACTAAATTAAATACAACCACTTGAGTTTGTGTTGTTTAGCTTCATCGATCTCTCTAGTTCTTAAGGCTGCCACTAGATTAAATCTTTAGCGCTTGTCTAGGTTGTTTAGTAGTAAGATTAATTAGATCACTTGTTTCCTAATTAATTACAACTAAGGAGAGATAGGAAAATAGTTCCAACGGTGAATACTTAAAGTAAGAATTGATTTATTTTTGCATCAATGATCAGTTGTAAGATTCCGATGGTGGATGTTGACTTAGACCAAGTTTCGTTATTTTGATTGATTTCGGTAATTTAGGTTGAATTTCTTTTCCTGAAATTGTTTCTGTTTTTACTCAAATCCCCCCCATACTGGTTCACGTAACATAAAACTCGGCTAGACACTCTTCGTGGGAATGATCCCTACTCACACTACTACGTGTATTTTTAGGGTTTTAATTTTAGGTGCCTACGACAGTACACCACCGTGAAAAGACCAGATCTTTGGCCATGAAACGGCAACCATTTCACTGCCAAAGATCTGGCATTTTCATTGCCAGATTTGGTCATTTCCGGCCATGGATCACAAATCCATGGCCGAAAACGTCCTTATCGGCACGCAACCGGCAAGATCCTGTCGGTCTTGTGCCGATATGACAACTTTCGTCAGCGGCCAGTGGTGGTGGCTAGCAACCGACGATGGTCTTGGGTGGTTGGGGGAATTTTGTTAACTTTTAAACTTTTTTGTGGCTGGGGTATTTTAGCTAAATTCTCAAATGTATGGGGTTTGAGTAATTGTTATTTGGTAGACATATGAGGGCAAGTGTATTCGAAATTATAAAAGATTAAGGGCAAAATAGGGTTAAAATTAAGATTACCTCGGTAATCTTATATTAACACCCATTGGGAAGGTAATCTGGTTACCCTTAATATTACCAATAGTAAACACTATTTGTAATAAAAGATTACGTAATATTTTATTACTTAACAACCAAATGAGAGAATCTTGAAAATTAAACAAATATTACAAGATTAATCTTATATCACCCCGAACCAAACGCTACCTTTAATTAATCTTTGGAATGATATTAATTTTTAGATTTTTTTTTTTTAAAAGTCGTATCCTATGATATGATACGATACGATACGATACGCAATACACGATTCGAAAAATTAGGTTTTCAATACACGATACGATACGCGGTTTGACAACCATGGTCTTTTGTACCTTACTTTTTTCTCCAAATTATAATGTATATCATCCAAAAAGAAATGAACTTAAATTTATAATGTAGTATATCATTATATTACAAATTTATACTCCAAATTTACAGGGGAAGTAGGGTAACACTGGAACAACACCCACATCACACTATCAAGTTCATTATAATGTAATATATCATTATATTATAATGAACTTAAATTTGATTCCAAATTAACCAAACAAACAAGCCTTCACAACGAACAAGTCAAAGAGTAGCCAAATAATAAAAAAAACAAAAAACAAAAATCAAAAAACAAAAAACAAGAAACTCTATTCATATTTCATGAGGAGCCAAAAGGACCCCACGTCACACGATCAAGATTCAAGAATAACACTCAGACCATAGCACCTAACATTCCATGTGCAACACATAAACAACCTGTAGACAAATTTTAAATTATTATATACCTAAAAAAAATCCAAAACATATTAAATTGCATACTTTTGAAATATTGAGAAATAAACCTATCACATAAGAAGTCCAAAACTTTTCACCAAAATCGTCAATATCATCAAAATTATGCCACTTCGGTTTCCTCCTAAACAAGCGAAAAATATAAATTATATGATATTTAAGTAACATGTACACAAATGTTAACTATCATAAATGACTAAGGAAGAGGAAAAAAAAAAAAGAATACATTACAAATCTATAATACCTTATCGTCTGCATCATTATCATCATAAATTGATGAACCAAATCCTTGCCCTGGGCCTGACATAACAATAAAAAATAAACATTAAAACTAGCATATGTTAATATATATTTTTTTAATTTTTAATGTTGAAGAAATAAAAATTTCTTTTTGATTACCTTTTATGTCAGCCCATTTCCAATTCCGTAAACACATCAACGCCTCTAATGTAATGAATCTTGTGGTGATGTGGACTCAGTATGTTGCCAGCGATGCTAAATGAATAGCTAGCATATCTCGAGCAATCCTTAGTAACATAAAATATTTAGCCAGATGTAACCTCCACCAAGTCAATAGATCAAAGTCTGAAGTTCTATGAATAATTTTCTCCTCTAAGTAACATTCCAACTTAGAATTTTCTTGGCCAAACTAGCCAATATCCTCATTCTTTGAAACTTGGCATGAGAAGAGGTACTAGAGGATGCAATGAAAGATTGTTGTGTTTGGCAGCTTCGATGGTTACTCTCATACTGAACATACAAATAATTACATATTCGAATCCTCCTAATCTCATGTGGACCATCATCTCCATAGATCAAAGGAAAGAAGAAATCTAACAACTTCAATTTAAACCTAGGATCTAAAACCATTGCAATCCTCATGACACCATGAATCACACTCCAATACTTGTTTAACTTTTCATCCATTTGAGTCGCCATTTTCTTTATCAAATCATCCCCATCTGTGAGCAAACGAGTCACATGAAGTCTAATTTCACAAATCTTGGGAACATAAGTATTGGCAGTGGGAAATTTCATTTCAAAGAATATGAGTGTGGTTTCATAATGTAAGTTATTTATCAACTTATGAATCTAGAGTGATAACTCTCAATCATGGTATGAATACCTCACTTTGTCTTAGCACAATCGTTTTGTTTAAATTTCCAGTATGACCACCTTGTGCTAAAGTTACCACCTTCTTTTATGTTGTTTATCTGCTATATCAGGTGAGCACCTCTAAGTCAGAGTGATCATATGCATCTGACAGATTTTATTGGGTAACACGTGTTGTATTTCTAAAATCCAATGAGTTGTCACTACTCTCTTATGAGATATTTGTGTAGTCTAGAGGTGGAACAAATGGGTCGGGTTAGGCGAGTCAACCTTAACCCAGCTTGCCTCAACCCAGGTTCAACCTGACCCTCCTAAAGGGCAGGCTGGGTTGAACTCAACTCGGGTGTATCCCGTCGGGCAGGCTGGGCCTTCATAGGCCAACCCGGCGACTTGATGGGTTATTTTTTTTCAAAACCCGTCCAACCTACCGGGTTGACCCGCTAGTTGGACAAAAATAAATATATTAAATATATATATTTTTTTTTTGCAAAAACCCATTTTACCCTTGAAATAGAGCTGTTTTATAACAGTTGGAGGGGTCTTTCTGGTTATTTTCTTTTCCCTTTTTTTTTTTCTATAAATAGGGCATAAACTCTCATATTTCCTCACATCCCAAATTCTCTCATTCTCTCATTTTCTCTATTGAAATTTCTCAATCTCTTTGTTGTCAATTTGCTCTCAATTTAATTTTTATTAGTTTTTGCAATTTTCAATTCATATTTCCAAATTCCAATTCTCCTTCTTTAATTCTTTATTTCTTTTATATTCATTTTTTTTTTTTAAAACTAGAATGAATAGATATTTCCATCTTCATCAATTTCGATGATGAAGAAAATTATACACGTCCCCCTGAATTTGCTAACATAAATGCAGTAGATTCAAATAGTCTCGCTTTCCCATTCTCAGAATCTAATACACCTCATAATATTCTCCCCTTTCCTCCCCATGCTGCTACAGCTCCTGGTGGTTCTAGAAGTCATCCTCGTAATTGTCGTTCTCGTCCAACTCCAACTCCATCTCAAGCATAAGTGAGTTCATCAATTGCAGTTCGAACCGACGACAGGTACACATCAGATGTTTGGATGCATTTTGAAAAGTTTTACGAGACAAAAACAAGTGAAGAAAACAAGATACAAGTATTGTGGAAATATTTATTAAGCTAATGCAGGTAATGATACTAGTACTTTAAAAAGACATGCTAGTAAACATATAAATCAACATGAAAATTAAGAAACTAATCAAACTCAGATAACTAATATGGGTACTACTTGGTGTTATAATGTTGATGTATATAGGGAACGATTAGATTTATATATTGTTGTAACTGATCAATTTATTAATATGATTGAAAATAAATATTTTAAAAGATTTATTAAAGATTCATTTTTTTCTAGGATTTAAAAGTTATTATAAAACTACAACTAGAAATGATTTAATAAAATTGTTCGAGAAAATGAAATTAGAATTAAGAAATAAAATACACAGTTGTCATGTTAGTGTAACTTTAACCACCGATATTTGGAGTGGTAGAGCTAAACAAGATTATATTTGTGTGACTACTCATTGTTTTGATAACGAATGAAATTAAATAAATCTTTATTGGGATTTAAATTAATAGACGTAGCCAATAGTGGTCAACAAATTTATAGTAAAATTGTTGAAGTTTTGGAAGATTATGATATTGTTCACAAAGTGATAAGTTTAACTTTAGATAATCCAAGTGCTAATAATAAAGCTATAAATTTTTTTAAAAGTAATTTTCCTTTTTATGACAATTTGAAGTTTTTTCACTAACGTTGTGCATTTCACATTATTAATTTAATTATAAAAAATGGTATGAAAAAAATTAGAAATATTATTGATAGAATTATAAATTCTTTAGCCTGGATTATTAGTAGTAATAGAAGAAATACTGAATTTCAAGATGCTTGTATAAAATCAAATATGTCTCTTAGAATTTTTGCATTAGACATGCCTATTAGATGAAATAGTATTTATTTAATGTTTGATTCACGTTTACCTTATGCAAATTTAATTAGTTATTTTGTAACAAATAATAGGGATCCTCATTTTTTGGTAGACAATGATTGACATATAGCTAAAAAAATTCATTCTTTTCTTAAATTTTTTTATCAACCACTTTAAAACTTTCTGATATGTATTATCCTACTAGTCTATTGGTAATATATACAATTATAAAAATTTCAGATTTATTTAAAAAAAATAGAAACAATGAAATTTTAGCAGGACCAATAGAGGCAATGGAATTAAAATTTAAAAAATATTAGAAACCCATTCGTTTTCTTTTTTGTTTAGCTACCATATTCGATCCTAAAATTAAATTAGTAGGTTTAAAAAATGGTTTAGACAAGTTAAGTGAAAATTTACGAGACGAAGCATATGCCAATCAACTAGGAGAGATAAGATAGTGTCTTACAGAGGTATATTTGTAGTATGAAAATAGGTATAGGAACCAGCGAAGAGGCGAAATACCCGAGGAAGTAGCATCAAAAAACACAAATGAAGACTTCGACTCCTAGAGTGCACTTAATAGGCCGAAGAGGACTCAAACTTGAAGCATAGCCTCATTTTCAGAAGCATCAAGAACGAATATACTGTCCTCCATGCAGCTATAGAGTAATGAGCTTCACCAATATTTGGGAACCCCCGACGTGCTACCAGTAGATCCACAACAAAGAGCTAGCTTTGATGTCTTAGAATATTGGAAAACCAGAAATGTATTTTTTCGGTATTATCAAGACTTGCCCTGGATGTTTTCTCTGTTCCTGTCTCAACCGTCTTATCCAAACAAATATTTAGTGCAAGTGGAAGAATTTTAAATAACAGGACTAAACTTTCACCAAAATTGATTGAAGTCCTCACATGTCTTCGAGATTGGGAATGATCACGCCATCAAGATCAATACGAGGTTGTCGATCATACTTTAATAGAATTATTTCAATTTTGTAATTTAGATAATACAGATGAGGGATTCCTAGTCAACCCTCAAATTAGTTGTTTTGTAAATTATAACTTTTTAATTTACAAATTAACTATTAATTATTGCACTCTTTTTTCCTTACCAAGTTTTTGTCTCAATTGGGTTTTCTTTGGTAAGGTTATTAATGAGGTAATAATTGTTGTAATTTCTTATTTCTTAATTTATTTTTTAATAAATGAATAAATCTAATTTTTCTTATATTACAATTTAATTGTATTAAAATTGAATTAATATTTGAAATGTTAACAAAAAAATTAATTTAATTAAATTATTCATATTTGAAAAGTCAGCTAAAAAAAAATTACACAAGAAAAAAATAAAAAAATTTCCGGGTCAACCCACACAAAAACCAGCCGAGCTAGGGTTGGCGGGTCGGGATGGGCCAACCCTTTTGGCCAAAGAGGCGGGCCGGGCTAGGCCCGACTCGTAATTTGGCTTAACCCACCACGAACCAGGTCGGGTCGGGTCAGGTCAGGCAGGTTAATTTTCCACCTTTAGTGTGGTCCATAACACTTGTCAAATTGATATTCAATGTGCTAGAAAATTTTATTCTCTTTGATAGGTGGCATCTTGATAATGGAATATAACTTTAATAAAATTGAAATTCATAAAGTTATTGTTAGCCACTTGTCCCTTACATTGGCCGGTTTTTACTTATGTAAAGTCTTCTCCAATGCACTTGTTTTTTAAGCCTAATATTGTCCCTAAAAAGTACTCTGAAATTCTCTGAATTTTTCCTTTGTTTTTGTCAAGTTTCTATGCTTAGGTAAAGCTTAAAACTACATTTATTCAAGTACCTAGAATGCATCCTTGCTCTCTACATTTTGTTCATAGTTGATGTATGAAGCTTGATGAGCTTCTTCATTCGAAGTGCGTCTTCGTTTTTATACCTTGAGAGAAGCTCAAGGTTGACCAGTTGGTTAGGTGTTCTTGGAGCTAACTATGCTTGTACGTTGTTTAACCAAAGAATAAAAATTGAAGCGTTGCAAAACAGGGGTGTTCTTGCAACTGAGGCAATCTCTAACTTTGTAATTGAACTGTAAAGTAAACCTAGTGGATTAACTTTATTCTGGATTTAGTCCCATGGATGTAGGCATTTTGCCGAACCATGTAAAAATCTGGTGTTGTTTTAGTTTGGTTTATTTTTATTGTTTTATGTTTACGTCCAAAGAACTCTTAAAATCAACTTAACAACCACTTTCGCTTAGGTTTATTCACTTGGTAAAGGAATTAAATCTTTCACATAAAATATTTCTAGCTTCTCACTGATCTTTTCTACCAAGTCTCATTCTTCATCACTTGGTAAGCATCTAAAATTTGACTCATGATGCTTTAAAGTTGTTTGAAGCATCAAGTACGTTGAATTCCAACTTGTCTTACAATGAAGACCTAACTTCTTTGTGCTTGGAATGCCCGCTTGACATGCCATGTCTACAAAATTTTGCTCCCGTTTAGGTGATGTCGTCCAATAGGAAACAGTCTCACGGATTTTGGATATTACTTCTCCAATCACCGATAAGCCATCTTGAACAATTAAATTGAGAATATGTGCACAACAACGCATATGAAAAAATTCGCATGTAACAAAAGGGTGGAACGTTGAAGCTCTCCTAAGATATCCTGCACAATCGCATCATTGGTGGAGCAATTGTCAACCGTCAATGTGGACAACTTTGTATTAATATTCCGCTCATAAAAACAGTCCATCAACGCTGCAGAAAGTGCATCTCTATGTCGGCAACACACATGTACAAACCAACCATATAAATTGTACATAATTAATATTTTAATCTAGGTAAAAAATTTACAAAGAAATAAGAATAATGAAACATAAAAATAAAAAACATAATACCTTAAAAGTCGATTATGCAAAACCCAATTATCATTGATAAAGTGTGTTGTGATGGTCATATATCCTTTGTTATGGTTGCTAGTAGTTCAAAAATCAATAGTGATGGCAACTCTACTCCGGTTTTTGTTTAACATTTTCATGGACTTCTCCTTCTGAACTTCATAAACGTTCATAATGTCCCTCCTAATAGTTCTCCTAGAGACAACATTGAAGGAGATGAAATAGTGTTGCAGAATTTTCTAAACCCTATATCATCAACCGTGCTTAGCGGATACTCATGAAGAATAATCATATTTGCAAGATCATCTCTCCCCACTTGTTGATCTAAACTATAATTGCTTAATATCTTTTTGGAGTCTTGTTTTTGCATACCCGCAAGCATCATTTGTGATATATCTTGGTTTTTTCGCCTTGTACAAATTCTATGATGATCATGCAAATGCCTTGTTTCATTTTTAGAACCACCGACAAGTTGTCAGTGTCAGTAGTTACACACTGCCTTTTCTTTACCATCAACTAAGGCCTTTTTGGAATGTAGCCATATAATTGACCTAGACCTTCCAGTTCTAGTAACGCAAGTATCCTCTTGGGAAAACGAGGGAGGGCTTGAATGGAGACTATCTATCGGGATTGGAATGCTAGTTCCATCAACAGGAGATTGTTCTTGGTCATCTTCACCAGGTGAAAAATTCATGTGGGAACTCGTAATGGATACTTTTTTGGATGCCTTAGAAGATTGGTTGATGTCCTCTTTTAAATCCTTTCTTTTGGTCGATATTGACATAATGTAATGTAGCATATTAATAATATGCAGCTAACACCCACCAAAGAATAAAATGTTAAAAAAAAAAAAACAAACACAAAAAAAAAAAAAAAAAAAAAAAAAAAAAAAAAAAAAAAAAAAAAAAAAAAAAAAAAAAAAAAAAACTGAAAAAAACCCCTACAGCAGTTTAAAAAATCTGCAAAATTGCTCGATAAAGATGTTAACGAGCTTCAAACTGCATTTTGCATCTGCAAAATGCTGTGCAGATGTAAACTGCAGTTTGCATCTGCAAACTGCACACTTTGCCAATCCAAACAGCCAACAGTTTGCAAATGCAAACAACTTGCAGTTTGTAAATGCAAACAGCCTGCAGTTTGCAGATAAGCTAGTAGGGTTGGCAAACCCTCAGCTTAAGCTGATAAATCTTAAACTCTAAGGTTGAGCATATACACTTTCCATCTCAGCCAACACAAACCCAAGTTTAAATCAAATAACTAAACTGGGCGACATTCATCTCAGCTTCCCAATGTTTTCAACATTATTGAAGGAAATCCAAGCCACTACAGTGAAGAATGTTCACAAAATATTGCAACTATTTTCCAGTATTATGAAGTAAATTATAATATATTTTATCTTTTATCACATTATGAAAGCAAGATATACAACAGATATATTAGGAAGTATAGAAAGCCCCCAAATTATAGCATTAACAAACAAATATCTTAAATAGTAAAATGGGCTAAAGAAAATACGTACAGGAATGAAAGGTGTAAAACAACTCTCCACTTAGCCCAAGATAATGGTGTTACCTGGAATACAAAATGTTAAATAAAATCAATTTCTTTGTGAAATGAGAGAAAATTTAATAATTACTTGATCATTTGCTTAGCCAGAGAAAAAGAAAACTTACTGAGAAAAGAATAGATAGTGCAGTTTGCATATGCAAACACTGAAGTTGGCAAATGCAAACAGCCTTACATGTTTTAATGCTAATGGCATTCATCAACTCCCTTACATACCACCGAATAAGCAGAAACTTGGAAAGTAGAAACATGGTTTAATGATAAAGATCACACTGAATTTTCATGCTCAAATTCATCCAGTTTGTACAAATAGTAATAACAATAAAAACTCCAACATACCTTGCAATAGTTTGTTAAGTAACCAGAGATTGAAGGAAATGTAAAACATACAAGAGAAAGTACCATATCTAATTCAATGTCATCCAATCCAATCCAGTCTAGCATACCACACAAGGCTATAGAAACCTGCTTGATAGGTAGAATAATATATGAGGCTGAAAGTAAATTCGAAACTCATAAGCATTTAAAATTTTTAGACTTTTACCTTTAATAGATGCCCAAAACTAATGTAAAAGTAAACATGGCTATTATTTGTAAAATAACCTTCAAAGATCAAAATTGACCCCAAATAGAGAAACAAATAAAAAAATGGCAAATAGTGAAGCCCTTAGATCTTACAAATCATAATTCATAGATGGTGAAGTTCAAGATTTTAGTTAATAGCCAATCCACATCACCAATAACAATGGGAAATGGGGATAAATAACAACAACAACATCAACAATAGTAACAGAATAAGTAGTAATAACAACATCTCCAGCCACTTGTAATGATTGGAGAAGTTAACTGTAGGGATTTAATCAAATAAAGTGCAGAATAACAACAAAATTTTTTTTTCATTCGAAACCCATTTTATCCTGGATCATAGATTGAAGTTAATAACCATTTTAAAACAAATATACATAAAGATTAAAGTAATGTTATAATCAAACCTTCGATTAGAAGCTCCACCACTTTTGATTGAATGGAAAAACGTCCTGCTTAAAGAGGAGAAGTGAACACACGGAAATCCACACAAAGACAACAAGACCCACACAACCAATTTGCTAGTTTGAGAGTGAAGGTTCAAAGAAGAAAAATGGGAGAAGTTTTTCTAAGAAAAACTCTCTCTACAAATCTATCTTGGGTGGCAAGTATGAANTATAATATTATGTAATATTATATTAAATAATAAGTTATATATTAACATATAATTACGGATAATAACATATTATATATAATATATAATGTATAATACATGTGAAATATTATATATATGTATTATATATTATACATTATTAATATATTACATATATATTATTTATATAAAATGATAAATTATACATATATAATATATTTATTATGTATTAAAAATATTTATAATGGTTTATTTATTTATTATAATGAATCAAAATACCAAATGATATATTATACATATATAGTATAATAAATTCTAAATAAATAACTCCATAATATAACAAGGGCAATTAGATAATGAAACTGAAATAATTATTCAATAAAGGACAAAAAAATATTTATAATAATTTATTGATTTATTTTAATGAATCAAAATATCAAATGATACATTATGCATATATAACATATATATTATGTATATCAAATTATACATATACATATATAACATATTTATTATGTATTAAAAATATTTTAATGATTTATTATATTTAATTTATATATGCGTATTTAGCTTATTATATTCAATATAGACAATTTCTCCATTATTATTTATTACCCATTTGTATATGGTTTCACTCAATGTTCCCACAATTATATTATTATAATCACACTTGAATTTGATCAATTAATAATGTGAAACAATTAATTATTAAAGTGGTAATTATATAATTATATATATATATCCAGGGCAGGGCAGGGCAAGACGGGGCGGGGACAATTGCCAAGGTGAGACTAACCCCATCCCCGGCCCATTCCCAAATTCAGGGATTGATTTTGGGTCCAGGCCTAGGCCCGGGCCCGGGCCCGTCCCCAAACAGTTCAGGGAATCTCTGCTCCGTTTGGGCTGGGTCCCCGACGGGGTGAGGAACATGTCCATCCCTAGTGTGTATCTCATGAAATCTTAATTATGGCAATATTATTTAGTATCAGTAGAATAATTTTGTAAGTTGTCAAAATGTTTAATCGCCAAAGCGGTGCATTCATAGAAGCTTGCAAAATTTTCATTTGTTAAATGATACATTCTTTAGTTTATGACAATATTACTTAGTATCATGAAAATAATTTTGTAAGTTGTTAGAATGTTTAATAGCCAAAGCGGTGAATTCATTAAAGCTTGCAAAATTATTCATTTGGTAAATGATACATTCTTCATTTTGATGCATATAATTTCATGACCAAAGGTGGTTATTATTTGTGTTAAAATTGATGGTGCATAAGGTTAATTTTTGGAAATACACTGGTCTTGAAAAATTCAATACACTTAAAAGTGTTTGATTTTTTGTTTGACATGTGTTTTCCTATTAAGTGGAGGATGAACAATGGCCTAGAAAGTCTATCTGCCCAAAGGAGATAGTCTTTTGAATATCATATGTTCTCATTAGTAATTTTCATAACCTTACGTGTGGGATCCTAATTGCATGTTATTTTCTCTGCCAAACGGGGAGTTAATGGTGATGGACTAGAATCCTTAAAAGGTGTAGCTTATAAGGTTTTAAAACTACTTTGATTAATTATTGCCTATAACTTTGTGTTAGGACCCTAATAGCGTGCCATTTTCTCTGCCCAAAAAGGAGTTAATGATGATGCACTGGAATCCTTATAAGCTATAGCACATGAGGTTTTAAAGCTGTTATGACTACTGCCTACAACATTACTTTGTTGCATTATATCTTGAATGTCTCTTTTACTGTGAACAATAATAATTACATGATAGAGATTCTGACAGGAAACAATTTTAAGGATAGAAACATAATATTGAGTTTGCCCTGGGAATGTACAACAAATCATGTTATTGATAAGAAAATTTCATGTTTAATAATTCCCATGATTTATAATTTATTATTATTATTATTTTATATATACATGAATAGTTGTATATATGTGTGGGATATGATCAAAGTAAATTTATGGCCATGTTGTTAAATGCATGAATTTACTGTTTGGAGGATTTATGGGTGAGATAAGTGGTAATTGCTAAAGCAGTCCATTTATTGATACTCATAAATTCCTGTCATTTATTTGGGAAATTTATTTCTTATCTGTATCCTATTCAAAATAAGGTTCTTATGTATATTATAATGGAACCATGGATAAATCAATAGTAGTGCAACGCCTAGGTAATTTTTCATCTTAAAGGAGATTAATTATCTGAAAGCTGGGCATTGTTGTTGATTGGTTTATTATGAGATTTAGTTGCTTGTTGCACTCCCCACCCAAAGGTGAGTTTGCAATATTAAAACTTGAGATCCCGTGAGAATAATGTGATGCAGATATTTTATGAGTTATTCTTGTTTTATTTATGCTCATGGAGATATGTAAATAAAGTATAATATATTGTTATGTTTATATATATGGTTTTGTATAAGTTTCACAATATAAACGTAATCTTGATCATTGATACGACTATGGATGTTTGTATACCTAAGAGTCCATATTGAACCACTCAGTCACCTAGAGGTAGTTTCCTTTTGAATTATTTCTTGTTCATCATATTATACAACTCTCCCCATACAATTGATTAGTTAAAGATTACCTTTAACTCTTACATAGACAAATGAGATTCAATAGATTGATCTTTATATTTGTCTTCAAGGAGGAGAGAATTTGTTAAAGATAAAAGTGCAAATGTCCTTATTAGCCTTGTCTTATTTAGTTTCTTAGAGACTCAATCTGCTTGCAATGAGAAAAAGGGTAATATGTTGAAATTGAAATCCTTGGATAGAAAGGTGTACATTTTTGTTTGAAGGAAGGTTACTAGAAAATTATTTTTTCAACTTTCATTATTTTTTGTAGTGCTCAATTTGTTTATCTCCTTCCTTGATGCACTACATATAGTTGAATATTTCTTCCTTGGCTGCCTCTGTATTTGTTCAAGAAAAGTTTTGATATGCCTTGTACACCCAAGCAAAATGAGATGGCTAAGAGACAAAGTCAGCACTAGTAAAGGTATGGTGAAATATTAATGACTAGAAAAACTTGTCTATATTATTTTGAATTGAAGTTTTGAAAATAGTCTTTTCCACATTGGCTAGAAATTTCTAGTAAACGGATACTAGAATATTTTCAATCTTTGGATTGTTTGGAAACTCAAGTTTAGTACATTAGCTATCTTGAAAACACTAAACTTTTTAGGTTAATTTCCTTGTATCAAGGCATCAAGATTAATAAAGCTACTAAAGTTTGATAAAGTTGATATAGATAAATATCTCATATGGAAGCTTTTAATCAAGGTTTTCAACTCTCATAAAAATTATTGTTATTAGAGGTTAAGAGGAACGATATGGATTCTATGAAATATAATTGTTTGTGATAACTTGTGTTTTCTCTTAATAAAGTTGTACTCGTTTGTTATAGATGAGTGTTTAAAACTAAAGAGATTAAAAAGCATATTAAAATGCTTTAAGGCTAGGTTACTAGCTATGAGCTTCACATAAAGATATATATATATATCATAGAAATGTCATTTCTCTTATGTATTCTAATGTCTTTTTTCGTAAAGATTTTTATACCACTAGTTTTTTACCTTAAACTTAACATTTATGCTCACATATATTGAGCAAATTTTATTTCCTTTTGGGTGATTATGTTAGATAGATTTTCTTTAATCTAGATATAGAGTGGTAATAAAGAAATTTATTAGATATTTATTAAATGCTATATGTTTGGTAAATCTAATATCATGAGAGGTAATTAAATATGGTGAGTTGGTTATACCAAATATTTCAATATTTAATAAGTTTTGGTATAAGTTTTATAATGGTTTACGGGGTTGTCTCCGATAAATTCTTGAGATGATACACACACACACACACACACACACACACACACACATATTTAATGCCCACATTGAGGTACGTAACTTATTTTATGCTTGTTTGCCCTTAGTTAAGCTTATATGCTCTTAGTGTTATTTGGTTGCCCTAGGTTTTGCTTGTTTTAAGGTGAAAGATTGGCGAAGTTGGAAATTTTAGACTTCGCCGTGGCCAAGAAGAAAGTTCGCCGCGACGATGTATGCTCTGGAATTTTTCGCCGGGGCAAAGAGCTGGCTGGAATTCTTGAGAAAATTCTAGAGAAAATTTCCTTAAAGGAGAAATGACCATTCTACCCCTAATTAGTTGAAAATGTGGAGAGTGAAAAGTAAGGAAATTTTATAGAGAATGCAATGGTGATGAGGGCATTTTTGTAATTGACTAAAGGACAAAGATGGAATTTCTAAGAAAGTGTAAGGGCAAAATGGGAAAGTATGAATATTAATATGAGATATTAAGGGTTCAAGCACATAAACCCTACCATTCTCTACACCCCACACGCCACTTTCATTCTCAATTCTCTGAATCTCTTCATCAAATTTCCAAGGAAAATTGGAGGGCTTTTG